GTGCCAGCCCTCCACGACCTTTCTTTGCAAAGTTACGGAAGTTACAAGAGAAGCCCTAAATTAATTTTCCATTTTCTTTCTATATCTGACAATGAACATTTAGGGCTTCTCTTGTAACTTCCGTAACTTTGCAAAGAAAGGTCGTGGAGAGCTGGAAAGCGTCTCAGTTTGATGCAAAATTTCCAGGCTACAATCCCAACATGTTGATAAAACTTTTCCTAGGGTTTCAGGGAATTCCTAGAAAACCGATTCTCCAGAGAAACACTAGGAAAGATCTATGGGCGCAAACGACTATCATATTCGTCATCAGCGCCCTTGATTACATATAAATTGCCAGGTTTGAACAAAATCGGAGTGCGACACTTGGGAATGTTCCCTCGTGAGAGTCGTCTGTTTGAAGCTATTCATTTTTTTGAAATGTGCATGTGTAAACATACTTTTTTTTTGGAAACATAATCTGAGAGAACTTCTCAAAAACCGTGTTAAAAACCGTCAAACACATTCATTAAGATCAAAAGTAGCATGAACTCTGAGAGTACATACTCTGGGCTTCCACGATTTTGTATATCTCGTGTATAAAATATTATATATTTGACGAAGTTTCAACATCAACTGATCCATATTCAGGTATAACTAAGTACCCATAGTACCGGTTAACTGAGTACCCAAGCTGTTTGGTCACTAAACCGTATGGATACCCAAACGATAATAATATAATAAACTCCTATTTTTTCCATGAAGGAAGCATTTTTGAGGATCGACAATATAGGTACTCGACCCTCAGAAATGCTTCCTTCATAAATACTATAAGTACTGATACTGGTGTATATCTATCTATATTGATGAATAATATCAAAGATGCCCTGAGGTCTCTATCTGTGGACAAAATCAGTGTCTTCTTATCCTATGTGCTAATTGTGCTATAGCACAGGGGCTCGGCTGACTCAGGGGCCCAATCGAACAGCTTAAGCCTTGCATTTTGTTATTATTAAAAAAAATACAAATTGATGTGTTGAAAACGTTAATGATCAGCACAGGGGTCACAAATTTCTTAAAACGGCTCTGAACAAAATAATTGTTAGAAGTGGTTTCGTTTTCGTTACTATTATTTATTAATGCGGTGCGAAGCAAGACCACATTCTAGTAATCATATGCGTCTTTTTATCCCTAGATCAGAAAGAGTGTCATTTTCTGTGACGATTTTTCCGACAAGTACAAGTGCTGTTTCAAAAATTGAAAAACAAGTAAAGTTACATTGATCTGCGTTTCCAAAAAGCGATAACTTCTTAATTAATGAGTAATCAGTAATCGTAATTTGAAACAGAGATATATAAATTGGTCCCTTTCTAGAAACAATTGGTCGCTTTCTGGCATCTTTTATAACATCTATATGTTGATAAGAAAGAGTTCTTAAAAGTTTTTGATAACTATCCAAAGTCTTTATCTTGGATATATTTTATTTTTGCTAATTTGAGTTTGTCATCATCACATATTTGTTTTATTTTTCTTGGTCTTGCTGTACGTTTTCGAGCTTGTTCCTGCTCATAACGACAAATTCTTCAGGTAAATGACCTTCATTTTAATCCATGTCCAGAGAACCAGATTCGTTCACACGCTTACATTTAGTGGTCTATGATAACCTAAATATAGGCCGTGGTGATTTGCTTCGCACCGCATTCACAAGTCTTTCGAAGCGTGATTGCTATCTAGTTGATCCTGAGTGAATTGTTTTGTAAATTTATTAATCTTTAATCTGTTATTCGTCTATTTAGAATTGTTCAATTTCTTATATATCGAACCAATTTCAAACATTGATTACTTCATCCCTTTGGCAAGATACCGTTGATTTCACTACATTACTTAAGCCAATCTATGAACAATGTAGAAATTTTAACACTGAATATTCTTCGTTTCGACAACAGTGTGGTTATTCATTTTTATCTCTCTATAACTTTACAACAATTCAGCATTCACCACTGCTGAAAGTGATTGAAAGTACACGAACATCTGAATATTTGACAACAATATTTCAAACACCCATCTGTTTTATATCGTTAAGTAATCAATTTTATATGACCTACCACAACTTCTTCAATTCATACGCATTTGATTTCAATCGGCATACCATCGCTATATTTTTCGGTAATGCTTTACCATCATTTATCGTCTTAATTGCCAATCTATTATCGATTAAAGCTATTTTTTTCTCAAAAAGTTTGAAATATTTGACTAAATCCACAAAAGTTAATCGTGGTCCACGTCATAGTGACATTCGCGCCTTTATCGTCATTTTACTCGAAAGTTTTTCTATTATTGCTATTAGTTGGGGTATACCCATTGCTCTAACAATGTATAATTGTCACACACTGTATGTGATTGATATTGACAGTTGTAAACAAATTACTCGTGTACTCATTGTGTTTTTATTTATTGATTTATTCAATTCATCTACAAATTGTTTGTTATATTCCTTATCTGGAAGACTATTTCGACGCAATTTTTTATCTTTAGTCAAAGCAATTTTCACTTGTGGGCATAGTACATGCTGTTATGTGAAAAATGATAATCCATTAACTCGTATACCCTTCGTCCCTCCTAATCGACATCAGAATATTAATCATAATAATAATAATAATAATACTACTATTACTAATAATAATAATGATAATAATAATATTAATACTAATAATAACAACAACCATATGGATCATATATCAATTGTCACCAATTTGAATCATGCCGATTTTACTCTACTAACCAAACGTCAACAGCTACGAAAACCTAGTGATTGTCCATCGCTTCTCGGAATGAAAGAATCAGGAACATCAAGAGAAGAAAATTATTCATCGTCTAATATAGAAAGTGATAGAGACGACAAATCACAAGACTATCAAACTTCAAGAAAACTAAGTACTGATTACTTAAAATATTATATTGTAAACAAAGTTAGAACACTAAAACAACGTTCATCACACAAGGAAAGCAAAAAAGATACAAATCAGATTCCTATGGACTTTATTACAATAACGGCGAAAAGAAGAAACCGTTTATCATTGAGTTCATTATCATCTTACCCTAATTCAAATACACAATCTCGGCTAATTGCATCACCCCATCAGGCAACACTTTTATTAGTAGAGGATATAAATGAAAATAAAACAAAATTTCATAGTTTGACTTGTGTGTGAAGACTTATTTGTTGTTGTTGCTGTTGTTGTTTGTTATCATTGTTGTTTTATACTCTATTTTATTTTTTTTACACAGTATTATTAAATACGTGAAACAAATACATCAGATATAGATTATATACCATTAGTGCTGACCATTTCTAGATCAAGTAAAATGATATAAGTACAATTTCATAATTTTTCTTGGAACGATCATCGAAATATACTTTTAAAGCAAATAACTTAGAATTCGCTAGATTAGGAGACTTATGCTTTGTAAGAAAAGATAGCTGTTTCGTACTTCGTAATTTATAAAATTTCTGAGATCAGTGAGTGATTTTATGTGGTTTCTAATAAATAATTCACAATTTAGAGTGCGCAGATTGATTTGCACTCTTAATTTTACATTTAAAAAGTCGTTGATAGTTCTCACTAGGTTCATCATCAACTCTTACTAATCCATCAACCGTCGCAAACAGTAATGACAATGAAATTCTGTATTTTCTATCGTAGAATAATATGTCCATCGTCATTTGCTATTGAAAAGTCTTTACTATTAACAGTTATGCTGCAACATGCATTCTGTTTGTTTCTTATTAATTAATATGAAACAATCGTGTGCTTTCAAGATTTAGGCAAAAATACGCCCATTTCAGGGCATATCTCATGTCGTATGCCT